TGTTTCCCTGAACCCACATGAGTAGAGAATGGTGCTGCCCACAACATCCTTCACCTTTTACATCATCCGTTAATAATCAGGACATTCTTTCATTGATATACCCACAGGCTTATGTGATCTAGATACTTCCTCATTAAAAATCTGTTCCAAGGCAGTTATAGGTTGTGTCAAGTTAACAGTAGAACATTGTAATGTAACGTCTCTCTCTGTAACTATGGGAAATAATTTTAAAATGTTTTCTATGCCTATGAACCTCAGATTTGTTGTTTTCATAGAGTGACAGACATCATAGAATTCCCACTCATATCTTCTTGTTATGTTATCTTTGTTCTTATTGGATTGTCCCGCATCTTTCAACTTGCCTTCACACTGTTATATATTTTTCTTTTAAAATTGTATTATTCATTGTGATCTGGTGTATATATATGCATAAGTGTCTTGTGGGTGCTCACATCTCACAGAACATTTGAGGAACATGAGAAAAACTTTGTGGAGCCAGTTGTCTATTTCTAATCTCTACGTCTTACAGAGACTGAGGTTTACATGATAAGCATTTTACCCATTGTCATCCCATTACTCTACCATTCTATTTTGTATAACTATTTAATTCATTTACAATTTATTTTTTGTGTAGATCTTTTTGTGCTACTTCATACTTTCTATTGTGTACTATGATTTATTCTTTAAAATGATGTCATCATAGGAGTTTGAGAGATGGCTCTGGCCAAAAGCACTTGATACTTTTTAGAAGAGAGTGGTTTGTTTCCCAGTACCCTTACAGAGGGGCTCACTACTTTCTATAACTTAAGATTCAGGGAAAACTGACACTCTCACCTCTGTAGGCACACACCCACCCCCCCACACACTTGTATTCACATAAAAACACACAAACATACAAAAATGAAAATATGATAAAACATTTAAAATGTATTTCTTTAACAAGTTTCTAGAGATTTGTATATTCTCCAAATATCATGTTTAAAATCCCTCCTCTCGTTTCCTTTTCCTACTCCTTCTCCTCTTCATCGCACCCTCTCTTTCTACCAGATGACTTATTTCCCTCAATCTGGATATTAATGTGATTACTAATGATATCAAATAACCTTGCTTCCTACCTTCATTTGATTTCACTCATCAGGCTTCTTTATTGATGGTAATCTCCCTTTCTATCACCATATGAGATACCATGCTTCACATATTTGTTATTGGAGCTTTCTGTCTTCCTTGGAAACTTGTCCAGGTGGCAAGTACTTACTTGTCTGGTTATTGAATATTACTCCCCAATAACACTCAAATTTTGTGATTGTGGTTGTTGTTGTTGGATATAGTCACAAGGACTCATAATTTGGTATCTATCAATTAAAGTGTGACAGCTAATAAATTTACAGGCTGAGTAGGATGATATAACCCTCAATCAAAGTACTAATTGGGTGGAGATGAGTAGATAAAAAATTCAAGGCCATCCTTGTTTACATACCATGATTGTCTTGTTGTCATACCCTTTGCAATTCATGACCCCAAACAAATACCTTTTAAAACAACTTCCAAAGCAGAGCTTCTGTTAATTATTATCAATTTCTATCATTGGCTTGTTTTTGGTGCCCTCTCCAACATTCTTTTGGCTTTTTTTTTTGAGACAGGATCTGTTGTATCCCACGTTGACCAGAAATTCATTCTGTAATTGAAGATGACATTGAACCCCTGGTCTTTTGTTTCTATCTTCTGAACCTTTATGTCTACCTTGTTTGAGACAATCTCCTTCTTTATGTTCATTCCTGTGTGTGGAAATTAGCAGGTCTCATGCTTATGGGCATTATCCTGTCCTCAACTCCCATTCACAGGAAAGATACTAGGTTAACAAAATGACGCTGCATCACCATATTTGAATGGTTTTTGAGGATTCAAACCTGGGTCTTCTTATATACAAGGCAAATGCTTTCCATTGAGCCATCACCTGAGCCTAGCTTTCAGTCTCTTTGAGGGACTTAATTGTCTCATATGTTATGCAATTCACTTTATCTCTACACTTTCTCTGTAGATCATTTACCACCATCAGGTTTCAACAAAATCTTAGATTCATTGAATTCATGTATCCTACTGCTCTGACACTGGCTTTATTTGATTCAGTTGGTTCTTCATATAATGGGGAACAATGCAAGTCCTCAATGGAGGGTGAGACATGAAGAGACTACATAACTAGACCAGGAACACTTAGGACACTCTGACTATTGAAAACACATCAGTAGTACTAGGAATGTAAATGAAGCACTGGTTTGAATGTGGAAGGCTATGACTTGAATGACTCTAGTTGTCTGTGTTCTAGAGTGTCTGGTCTTAAAGAGTCACTATCCACAAGTTGTAGAACCTTAGAGGTAGGTGTTAGTGGGAAGAGATCTCCTTCAAAAGGGGTTAATAGAGCTTGCCAGACATGATGGCAATAAAAAGTCCCAACGTGGACATGCTCAGAACCCTCTGGCTTCCTGTTTTGTTTTGATCACATTTTACCAACTCATGCCTTTGTCACTGCTACTTACCTTTTGGATGTCTCTTCATGGCATCAGAAATAAATCTGTAATGTGATGAGTTTACTAATGAACTAAATTTTATCTTCTTATTTACTGTGTGTGTGTGTGTGTGTGTGTGTGTGTGAGAGAGAGAGAGAGAGAGAGAGAGAGAGAGAGAGAGAGAGAGAGAGAGAGAGAGATGTTAACATTGCCATGAAGACCAGCTTTCAGGAACTCAAGGAATGAGTGGAAAGCCATGGAGTCAGCAAACTAATCACTTAACTTGAATTTTCTATCTGAAGGAGTAAAACCTAATTCACTGGGGACAGAGAGAGGACTAAATATAATTCTCTTGGGACAGAAAAAAGGAAGAAACATACACAAACATTTGTATTTCTCCATCATTTTCTTTTTGTTCTTCATTTTTCCCTTACTGCTTATGTATCTGAACAAAATTTCTCAGACAATATAAAAATTATAAAATTTAAAATTTTATATAAAATATAAAATAAAAAAAAATTGCAATGTGATTTCATTCTATTTTTCAAGTAAATAATTACAATGAATACAGTTAGAAATCATGATTTCCAATTTCCCTTAAATGATTAAACATCCTACATATTGTAGATGAAAAACAAATTATCTCAAGAACTCTCATACATTCATATCCAAGCAGCTTGGTATAGATTAACAGAATAAAAGCAAGTAAGATATATTTCTCAGCCAGTCTTTTACTGGCAAGCTGGATTTTGTGGTTACAAGGGAAGGGTCACTCATTTCATTACTTATCTCAAATGGTAATCTTATAAAGAATCTTGAAAAAAATCACAATCCGAATTATTATATAAAAAAAACAATCAGTCTTCTGTCTTTTAAATACTCAGAATGTATTTTCATTCATCAATAACTTTTTTTTGTATTAGGAAGCAGATGGCAGAAATGGGCATTTATTAATCACCATCTTTGAATTAATTATCAGGATTTAAAGAATTAAGGTATTAATCTTCATCTTTAATTACCAAGCCATCCCAACTAGAATGAGCAATCTGATAATAATAGCCAAGCTGCTTTGGTCTTGTTTTTTGACCTCAATGTGTCCCTCACACAACTATGTTTTTTTCTAAATTTTATATGTTTGCTTCAGGTTTTTCATATCAAAGTTATTAATTAAAATATCTTATCCTATCTGTAAGTCATAGTGGAAGCTTTGTTTTAGCTATGATAATCACTTAAGTCAATGAACACATATCTCAACATTAAGATTAAAAGAATTTGAGCTAGCTTAACTTCTGGGACACAACTATGTTGTTGTTTATTTTTCACTCTTTTGGGTGGTCTAATACCCAGCTCCAAAATAAATTACATAAGGAGGCTTTTGCTTACTTGTAAATACCCGGCCTAAATTTGACTTGTTTCTTGCCAGCATTTCTTAACTTAAATTATTCCATTTACCTTTTGCCTCTGGGATTTTCCCATTCTCTTACACCTATAAATCTTACTCTTACTCCTACTGGGACTGGCTGTGTATCTGGGTGGTTGACCCCAATGTTCCTCTTCTTCTTTCTCATTTCTCGGTCTTTTTACTCCCAGTATTCTTCAATATATTCTCTGCCTGCCAGCCAGCCCCTTCTGTTTGTTCTTCTGCCTCACGATTGGCCTTCAGATCTTTATTAGACCATCAGCTGTTTAGACAGGTACCATAACACAACTTCACAGAGTTAAACAAGTGCAACATAAGCAAAGGTAACACACCTTAAAATAAATTCTACAAAAGAATTATTTTATTTAATCATTAACCTAAGCCACAGTCATTATGGATACTCAAGAAAAACTAACTGTGTGACATTCCCTTGTTCTTATTTTCTATCCTTTGCAGGCCCTGATTTGTCAGGGGCAGGGAAACACCATATTTTGCTTTTGACTTTATTAGAGTTTCTACTAAGCTAACCTCTATCACAATCAGTTACTATATTAAAGACCCCCAATAATCAAAATTCCATTTAAACTTATACTATTATTTTGTATAAAATCTTTGCTTTAAATAGAATAGCTTAGGAGGAAATCATCTTTATAATAATCCACTGATAGAAATGCCCAGGAGAATGGGATATTTCCATTGGATAGTCATAATAAATTAAGGGCAGTGGGGATTTCCCCACACCCATTCATACCATGAAAAAGCAGAGGAAAATATCAATGGTAAACATGTAACAGCACAGCAGCAGTGGCAAGAGACATTCTGGGGCCAAAGCCATCAAGGTCTTGCTTATCTAAGACTCACTCATCTGAGCTTTGCTTCCTGGTAAACAAACCACCTACACTTCAATTGCCAGCTGCTGATTCTATGACATGGCCACAGGCAAAATATCACATTGAATTATGTAAATATTGGATTTTTGTAAAGCTGCCTCTCATTTGCAGAGAAGAGAAGAATATAAGGCAGACCTCAGTCTGATTATTTGTAATCAACACTTCCCTTCTCCATTCCCACAGTAGTATATGGATCATGGTTTGAGCACACCCGTGACTGGTTGTCTATGAGAGAAAGGGACAACTTCCTGGTACTGAGCTATGAAGACATGAAAAAGGTAACTGTTATTCTTACAGCTATCATACAATCCATTAGCCTTTCAGCCCATACAGCACCACACATTCCTCAGTATTCCCATTCCACCTACTCTATCAGTGGTAGGCGCATGAAAAGTCACTAATTATGAGATTACACCCCATGTCTTTTATTAGCCTACATCTGGTGTTTCCTCTTCAGCCTCTTTGTCCATCGTACTTGACCCTGAAGTAGGGTGTGGTAGATCAAACTTGTTCTACTGGTTTTCCAATTTTGTCTGTACACCACATTCGATACAGCTAATAACCCAGTGATCAATGGAGAAAGGGTAAACAGTGTCATTCCACTGGTGGGTCCAAATGAATGCCGTCTCCCTTTGATGAAAACAAGAGGGCAAAAACATGCAATCTGTCAGGGAGGTTGGTGTCCTGTGCTCTGCAGTACAGAGGGTTCTGCATGGTTAGCTAGAACACGCTAGAAATTTCAAAAGTTTTAGAAGATAATATCTAAAAGTGTTTTAACATTAAGTAATGCAATCTATCTAAATAATCAGATAGCCCCTAACCTTATAGGATTTTGCAGATTTAATTTCATTGAAATGAAATGCTGAATGTTATAAATATATTTAATACTATGTATCTGTCTTAAATATCTCTTATTTTAAAAAATAAAAAAAACATATCTTGGAAGAGTGTCACAACTCTAAACCATGCATTGCAAGATAGAGCTTTAGGTAATCCTTGGTTGTCTGATGTGTGTGAGGCCAACCTTGGCTACAAGAGACATTATTTCAAAAGACCATTAAGGGAACTAATTTTGAAGTTCATTTGTGTATTTTATGTTCCGTTAATAAAAAATTCTCCCTCTAATGATGGGCACGTAATAATGAAACCAAACATATAATCAAAACAGTATTCTCATTTGATCAACAACCCAAAAATTTAAGTAGTTTGGAAGTTATATGTGAAAGGTAACCATCATTTACACATTTACATATCACAGATAAAGATATCAATTGTAATTTTTACTGAGCAAAAAAAAAAGCACTGAGCAAACAGTCTGTCAGAAAAAAAAACAATTTCTCACCTTAGAATTCTTCAAAAATTTAGTTAAGGAGGAGAAGGAGTCTTAAAGCCACTGTTTACCTTATAGAAGTAGATCTGGTGACAACAAAGGCAGGTGTTAGTTGTAACTTTTTGTTTTGATTTCCCTACTATATTTTTTATTGTTTAAAAAAATTTGTAAATTACATACACACACACACACACACACACACATATATATATGGGAATAAAGTTGTGTGCCACCACGCCTGGCAATTTAAATATATTTTTGATCATATTCTTTCCCTCCCACAATTCCTTCAGAATTATTTCCCTTTCTTCACCCACCCAAATCTAAATTCTTTGTTTAAAAAAGTCCCCAAATGAAAACAATACCAAAAGAGAAAAGCACCATGAGACTGGACTAGGCCCTTTGTATAGGCAAGACATTTGTGTAGTTTGCTGCTTAATGGGCCCCTGTTAGTGTGATCAGGATCCATCCCTTGTGCATGAGTAAGCTTTTTAGAGCCCATTGCCTATGGTGGGACAACTTACACAGTCTTGGTGCAGGAGTAGGAGCTTAGACCTGCCTCAACTGACTCTGCTGACACCACATGGGAGACCTTGCCTTGAAGGAGTTGGGAATGGGGTTTAGAGAGGGGAGGCTAGAGGGTCAGAGGAAGGAAGGAAAGGGGATCTGTGATTGGTATGTAAAATGAATAGAAAATTTCTAGTAATAATGAAAAATAAAAACACCAACTGTAACCAAATGAAAGCATCCCCCAAACACATACAAAACTGGTGTGTCTAGTATACGTCGGTCAATTACTCCTGAACATGAAGACTGCTCTGGAGTAGCAAATACATACAGGGTCACTGCACTGGAGAAACCTGATATTTGCGGTGCGCTCCTCTCGACCAGCAAGGAAGAACGACCACCACACAAAGATTCTTCTCGGATCACACTTTTATTGGAGAGCCTTTGGTTGAGGGAGAGCTGGAAGCGAGGGGAGGGAGCAGTAAAAGCGGCTGCTTTATATAGGGAAAAGAGGCGCGAATCGCTGGCTGAACTTAGCTTGCCACCAGGCACCATAGGATTGGTGGGGGACCAATATATAGCTTGCGCATGTGCAAAGCAGAGGCGCATATTTCGTCGAAAGCATTGTCTTAGAAGTAATAAATCTTCAGAATGCAAAGAAGTCAGCTCGATCTTATAATGGCGATTGTCCCGGCTCCCTGCAGACATTCCCTCTCCCAGCAGGTGCAAATGACAGTTAAGGTGTAAACCTTTATCCTAGTGGACTGAATATCATTCATTCATTCATTCATTCATTCCTTTATAAAAGGGTACCAAAGTAAAATACAATATGATGAAATAATACTATCATCTTAGAGTTAGACAAGACAATTCAACAGAACAAAAGCATCACAAGAAATGGCACAAAAATCAGAGACCCATATGTTTGAACACTTGGGAACCCCCCCCCCCCAAAATCATGAAACTAGAAACTCTAAAATAGAGCAGAGAACTGGTGCAGACATGGAGCAAAATGCAGCATGCTTCAGAATGTGGCTTCATACATGTTTTTACCATGCTAATGTGGAGGGCCTTGTTTTCCTCATGTCCTCCCTCCTCTCTGGCTCTTACACTTTCTTCTTCTGAGGAGGAGTTATTGGAGCTACAGAGGGAGGGATTTAGTGGAAATATGCCATTAAGTACTGATTTGTTCAAAAGTATCCACTCTGTGTAATATCTGTCTATGGGTCTTTTTATTTGTTCTTGCCAAATTCAGGAGCAAGCCTCTCCAATGATGGATGAACAAGGCACAAACCAGAGAATAGTAGAATATCATTAGGAGTCATTTTGTCACTAAATTGTTTAGACCAGTATTAATTACTTTTACCCTAGGTTCCCAGGGTATCTAGTCTCTGGTCACCAGAGCAGTATCAGGTATGAGTTCCATCTCTTGGAGTGGGATTTAAGTATAATAAATTATTGGTTATTTCCTCCCACGAGCTTTGTGCTACCATTATTGTAGCATATCTCTCAGGTAGGACACAAATGTAGATCAGAGGGTTTGTGGCAGGCTTCATGTTTGCATTTCTCTTTTGATAGTATGCATAGTACTTTCTTTTAACAAAGATGATGGAATGCGGAGCTGAAAGCTGTATGTATTCACCAGCATATCCATGTTTGATGAGTGATAAAGGTGCTGTCTACAGCAATGGTGCCTTGCTGTCAGTTTGTGGAGAGCAACCTATAGTATTAGCAATGGCCTGTGTTAGGGGTTCCCATGGAGTCGCTTTGGCCAAGAACTCAATTAGATGTAACCTGATATGAGAAATGGAAGCTTCCTTCGGTGACAAGAGACTGTCACCGAACACTATTTCTCCCATTAATTGATAATATTATTTATATTGTCATCACATGTGTATATATTTTAAAAAGTTTTTATTGTACTAGATTTCCATATATTTGCTCAAATATTCCTTAATTTTTGTTTTCACTCCTCATATTCCCTCCCTCCCTTAAGTTCCTTTCCTGCTCCCCATTTAATCATCCATTTCAAGCCTTGCTAATCCACCCATAATGTGTTCTCTATGCTTAGTATTTTTCATTATAATTATAGACTGTAGGGCCTTTCTTTCCTGTTATAGTCTATTTTGTGTTTTGCAATTTATTTTAAATTTGATGTCCTCCTTCTTTAGGTTAGTGAATTATGTTCCTGATTTTTTTTGCTTCATTTATTTATTTATTTATTTATTTATTTATTTATTTATTTATTTTTATCCAAACCAAAATTTCCCTCACTTCCCTCTTTCTGCTTCCACCACTATCCCCCATCCACTTCATTCCCCTCCACTGTTACTCTTCAATACAGCTGGGCCTCCCAATGATATCAGCCTGCCATGGTACATCAAATACCAGGGTGACTAGTCTCTTCCTCTATCTTTAAGATTCAATGATGTAATCTGGTATCAGAAACGGTTGTTGAAAGGAAGCAAAAGAGTCAGAGACTTCCCCTGCTCTCATTATTAGGAGTCTCACATGAACACTAAGTTACACAACTGCAATATATATGCACAGCACCTATCTCCGTCTCATGCAGGCCCTTTGGTTCAGTCACTGTGGGCCCCTATGAGCACAGGTTAGTTTAGTCTGTGGGTTTTCTTTTGGTGTGTTTGGTATCACTGGGACCTAAAATACAGCCTTGCCCTCTTCTGTAGGATATTGTGAGCTCCACTTAATGTTTGGCTGTAGGGTAATTCTCTGCATATTTTTCCATGAGTTGCTTTGTTATGAAGCCTCTATGATGACAGTTACACTAGACTTCAATCTTTTAGAAAAGAAGGATATCATTAGGAATCATTTCATTGACAATTTTTCCATTCATATTTGGTTCTATTCTAAGCCTCTGGGTTAAACTGCCTCTGGATCCTGATCCTCAGAGGGGAGCCCCTCTCAAGATACAGGTTGGCACCTGTGCCAGTCATTAGTTTTTCACTCTCACAATTTCTGCCACACCTTTACCTAAGTCAATGTTGGCAAGACAGATTGTAAGTAGAAGGCTTTGTGGCTAGGTTGGTGGACCAGGCCTTCCACTGGACATTTTGCCTGGTTACAGGAGATGGCCAGAACAATTGCCATGTTATGTGTTAATGCGTCAACCTCATAGATTCATGAATGTTTCCATTGCTCTAGGTTTCCATCTCATCCCCGAGATGCCCCTAGATCCCAGTGTCTCTCTTAATTCTTTCTCAACCCATCCTTCACAAACATGATCCCTCCTGTTCCCATCTCCATTCTCCCTTCTATGTTTTTCCTCATACACTATCAATCTCCATTTTACTTCTTCACAGTGAGATTCATGCATACCCCCTTGAGCATCCCTAGGTATTTAACTTCTCTGTTCTGTGGGTTGTAGGGTTGTAGCTTGGTTCTCCTTCACTTTCTACGTATTAGTCACATATGATTGAG